GGGGGGAAGCAGCCTCCCTCCAGATCTGGCACCGTGCCTGGGTACCACATCCAGACCTGTCACAGCCAGCCAGGAGCACACACCATCCCCTCCCACAGGTGGTAGTGCTGGGGCTCTGGGAGGCCACCCTCCTCACCATCACGCCCACCATCACCTCCCAGAGTCGGAAGACCGGACAAGAACAGCCGGGCTCCTCCCCATTCTGGCTGGGGAGCTGGCATGTGGCCTCTGGCCTTCCAGGGACACAGACATCACCCACTCGGCTGCTGGGCACAGACGACCGTGCAAACCAGCCTGACAGCAGGGTTACAGAGCAGTGTGAAGGCATCAGAACCTGGAGGCTGCCAGCACTGTTAGCCTTGCCCTGAGCACTGGCCCTTGTCCCCTGCTTAAACCAGCAGGAAAAGCTGGCTTCTGGCCCTGCCTCAGGACAAAGCCCTTTCCAGGGTGGCCCCCAGCACCCTGGAGCGAGCTCCGTGCCTTCAGGGCCCAGGGGGGCTGCTAAAGCCAGAGCCACCACACTTGTCCAGGCCGGGGCCCACAGCACCTCAGGGAGAGAAAGCCCTGCCCACCTTGGCCACAGATGCAGCCCCCTCCCTGGCACGGGCGGCTGGGCACCACCGGGCCCCTTGGCGGAGACAGCTGCCAAGCCACAAAGAACGAGGTGTTCCGGGAAAAAAGGACGTGAGCTGCATTTTCCAGCTGCGTTTTGTTCGGCAGCAAGACTGCAGGCACGCTCGGCCGGCGCCCCCGCTGCACGCGGCCCACCCCGTGGACACAGCCCCGCCTTGGCCGGCTGGAGACACACAGGCACCCAACTCGGAGGGCCAGGCCCCAGTGTGCCCGGGGCCAGACAGCCGCCACCACCCCAGACAGCGGCAGGACACACGGGGTGTTTTCGTTCCAGAGTGCTCAGCGGGCTGGGCCCGTCTGGGTTCCCGCTGCTGGCGCTGGCCACTGCAGAGTGTTCCGGAAAGGAAAATGTGCATCTCCGTCCAAAATGGCTTCCTTACTTGACACCAAAGCCCAGCCGGGGTCTCCCTCGAGAGCCAGGGTCTCAAGAGCCGTGGGGGAAACACAAGTGGTGGGAGAAGTAGCCCCCCCCCCCCGGTCCCAGGGGTAGCCCGTGGGGGCAGGACCCACACCCCGCAGGGCCACCCAGCCAGCTGTGATAGGACAGTGGCCAGAGACTCACTGCTCAGGGCCAAGGCAGAGCGAGAGAGAGAGGAGGAGGAGGCCCCTACAGGAGACGACACTCTGGTCTCGGGGGAGAATCACAAGATGAGCCTGCAGGGAAGCAGGAAAGGGAACCCGAGTCTCACCAACACCGGGCACCTACACTGCTGGCCCAAGGGAGATCACAAGGCTGTGCCGTGTGCGTGACCACAGGCAAGCGGCAGGAGGGTGCCGAGCGGCTCTCGTGGCCCTGGATCTCAATGGCGCCACATCATCCCAGGTCACAGAACAAGGCGACCACGAGAATTCACACATTCTGTTTATACCTCCAAGCTTCCGAGTGTCACGAATCTGCACTCGAATGCATCAAAAACACAAACGCATAAAACTGAGATCCACACACCAGAGGAGCGCACCAGGCCTCACGAATCCCCACCACTGCGCGACCCTGCGTGGAAGGCACCCCCGAGGTCAGACCAGGGGCGGCAGGAAGGCTTCTGGACACAGGCGTCTGTGCAAGGGTCCGCCTGCTGGGGCTCCCTTGTGCCTGCCTCATCGGCCGTGGGGTCTGAGCAATGTGCTCAGATCTGAGTCACCAGCACATGTGCTCCGGGGGTCCTCTCCTCGGGCTTTTGTCTGTCAGCGGGCGGGTCCCAAGGACCCACTTTCCAGCAGCCGGTGCTTGAGGACAAAGTAACAGGCTCCAAGAACATGGGGGAATAGAACCGAGGACCACTTGGGCAACAGTTACGATCACTGTGGCCTCAGCACCGAGCCTTGTGGACGAGCCCACAACCCCAGGAGGGCATCCATTCAAGGTGCCTGCCTTGCAGGTGTGGACACTACAGCTCAGGAAGGCTGAGTGACTCAGCCAAGGTCACGCAGAAAATGGGGGAGCTGGGGGGCGCCTGGGTGGCTTAGTCGGTTAAGCGTCCGACTTCAGCTCAGGTCATGATCTCGCGGTCTGTGAGTTCAAGCCCCACATCGGGCTCGGTGCTGACAGCTCGGAGCCTGGAGCCTGTTTCGGATTCTGTGTCTCCCTCTCTCTCTGACCCTCCCCCGTTCATGCTCTCTGTCTCAAAAATAAATAAATGTTAAAAAAAAAAAAT